ATATACTGCTTGAGAGTCCAAAACCTAAACCTTACCTAGAGGCATCAGTGTGCCCAGAAAATTGTTTGTTACTTATCACTTTGCTATCTTGAAGGCGTCTAGGTTACTCTGGGTAACCCTGAAGCTTTGATGCCTCAACCCTAGCCCTGGACCAGTTGGGACCTCGAGCTGTCATTGTCTCATGCCCGCCGTATGCATGCCAAAGTACTTGGAGCTACATTGCGGCCTTCCATGACCGCTAAGAACCTCAAGGGGTGGATGCCCATAACTATCCCTATACAGGTTCACTGTTATAGTACCTAGATTCCTTTCCCCCGCTCCCCCTTAAGCACCGGTTAAGCAACAGGAAGTCAGCACAGGTAGGTTGCCCACAGCCATGTAGGTACTCTGGGCTTTCTGGCAGTCGGCGCTGTTACTACCGGTGGTCCTGGCCTCAATGTCACAAATCTTGGATTAGTTGCTGCCTTAGCAGTTGAGTGGGAAACTTGCAGCCTCCTGGTGTACATACGAATGTAGGGATTAAATCTGGAACTACTATAGTATACTGGGGTTATAAAGGGGTTAGATAGGGATAATGGAAGAGAACATGGCAACTACTACATTACAATGGTGTATTTATTTGGGTTGTATCAGGAGTCCTTCTACACTAATAGGTGCAGGGTTCTGGTATCATGACAGGTCCTTTTTCACTACGACTGTGGGGCTTGTTCGCTCCTTTGCCCTACACCTTGCAACCTACATAAATTCCAATTCCGCTTTATTTTCCCGCTTCTTTTTCGTTTGATTCTCCACCATTCCAGTTGTTGAGGCCCTCACATCCCCAAACCCTAGCAAGTATTGTTGTGGTAAAAACCCCCTGCGTGCTGATCTCAGGTCTCAGTGGATCCCACGTCGATACCCGTGCTGCAATTTCTGGGCCAAGGGGGCAAAATGCCGCTCTGCAATTTACTTATCCTTGCATGGTTGGGGTTTAAGGTTCAGGATTTCGAGCCTTGAGCCCTAAACCCTAAACCTAAGCCCTAGATCCTAAACCGTAAACCCTAATCCTAAGCCCTAAACCCTAAATCGTAAAAGGTCCAAGCCGTAAACGCTCACGGCCTGAGAAATGTGGGTTTCCCAAAACTAGGGGCACCTTTAAAGGGGGTTATAGGGGTTATATACGGGCTATATAGAGCTTAGGGTTTAGGGTTTCCCAAAAAAAGGGGTACCTTTAAAGGTGGTTATATAGGGGCAGGGGTCATGTAGGGTTTAGGGTTTCCCAAAATTAGGGGTGCTTTCAAAGGGGGTATAGGGTTATGTAGGGGTATATAGGGTTTAGGGTTAGGGTTTCCCAAAATTGGGGTACTATTTTGGGGGTCCCTATAGTAAGGAAGAGTATTTTGTATTTGGGTCCCCTTGTTTTGGGAAACTATCAAAATCTAGCCCGCAGAAACCTCGAAGCCCTGAAGCTCTAAACCCAGACTCTCCAAGCTCTTCAAACCCACGAACTCCCAACAGACCCCAAATCTTTAGCACCCGAAAATGGGAGAGTTTTCAGCGGTACGCCGAAGGCATTCTAGGCAGATGTGAAGATCTCGAGGGGGATTCTACGGGCCCTCCTTGAGAAATTGCACGAGGTATCTTTGAAAGACTTCCCACTGCAAATCCTTAAGGCCCAAATCCTACATCCAAATCCCTAATCAGAAAGCCTGAGTAAGAAGGCGTGCTAAAAACGCAAGCATGAACATCCTACAAATTCAAAAAAGCAGGAACCGCAAATCTCTGCTTTCCTACATATCCCGATATAATCCTGATTAATCGTTATATGATATGCCCCCTATACATCCCTAACAACTCCATATATCCCCGCACATACCTTGAATCCCTATATCCCTATAATGCACATTTATCCCTCCAGTCAAGTCCCCTGTCCCTGTAACCCCTAAACCCTAAACCCTAAACCCTAAAAACCTTAACCCTAAACCTAAAACGTTTGACTCTGCTCAACACAGGCCCATGTCTGGAGTTGGCCTTTGCTGCCGGTCCTCCGCACGTACGGACCTCAGCCGCACCAGGGTTCAGGGTCTAGGGTTTAGGGAGCAAACGGTTCAGGGTTTAGTGTTTTGGAGTTTAGGGTTAAGGGAGTTTAGGGTTTCAGGCTTAGACTTTGAATTTAGGGACTTCAAGGGGGTTTAGGGCTCGGAGTTTGGCGGCAATTTCTCATCCCCAGCACCCCGCCGATGCGTAGGGCGTCAGAGAGAGTGGGGGAGTGAACATAAGGAGTGATACATCAGTTATGGCTATGCGTGCTTTACAGATCGAGCATTTCTGGATATTCTTGCTTCGGTGCGATGGAGCAGGCGGTGATGCAGCACGACAGGGCGTGCTTGACTTCCTGTTGCAAGGCGCCTGTATGTGCCTTCCAGCAAGTGTTTCAGCTGTGCTAACTGCAGCTGAAAGGTGGGCGCCATCTAGACACGGCTCAAATTTATGGCAATCACAAGGCCAGGGTTGGGTTTAGGGTTTAGGGGTTTAGGATCTAGGGGTTTAGGATCTAGGGGTTTCGGGTTTAGGGTCATCCTTGGACCAGGAGGTTGGCGAAGGTGTTCGACAAGCCGTGGAACGTGGAGTACCTCAGCCTGACCTGTAAGCTTTTCTGACTTGCAGGAATCAAAAACTATATAGGAGTTATATAGGGGATATATATATATACATATATATATAATATTATGGGGATAATGGAAAGAAAATGGAAACCATAGGAATTATTACTAGTCTTACTATCGGTTTAATTCTTTTCGTACTACTATTACTACCAGAGCTGCAGGAAGTTCTTGTGGCTTAAAACTCTTACTGTGTAAAGTAAGACGGCATGATTTGCGAAATGTCGCGGGCGCCCGGGTTGAACGACACACGTCGATGCATGTGAACTATATAGTGTAAACATATCTAAACTCCTTAAAGGGGGCTATATAGGGGAGTTTATAGGGTTTAGGGTTTAGGGTCTAAACTCTGTACAGGGGGTTATATAGAGGATTTTATAGGGTTTAGGGTTCATGGTCTAAACTCCTTAAAGGTGGTCGTATAGGGGATATTATAAAGCCGGAGTGTTAATGGCATATGCAGGGGGATGCTAAGAGTTTAGACTGTAGCTCATATATCTCCAATATATACCCATCGTAATATAGTAGTTTCCACTTTCTTTTCCATCTTCCCCATATATTGACAAAATATGTATATATATCCCCAATATATGTATATATATACACATATAACCCAAATCTACTACATCATGTCTTCTGCCGAGGTTCCCAGAGATGAAATCTTCCTTACCACGAAGATCTGGCCCGATGATTTCGGGTGGGAGAAGGTCGGTTTACATAGGGATAATGGACAATACAATGGAAACTACTACAATGTTTTTGTTTAGGGTTTAAGGTTCGTGAATTGGGGTTACATACCCCGCAAAGCTTGTGGTTGCATGAGCTACTTTCGCGCTTACAGTTACAAGGGGCCGCCGTCGAAGGGTAGACGGAGGACTCCCTCTAGCCTTCTGAATAAGAGAACCCATGATATTAATCAAGCACGAATAAGAATAGTGACATCAACATTGAAGGTAACGACGATAATAAGCGGAATATAATGGAAAAGAACATGGAAACTACTATAGTATATAGTCCCAATATACTACAGTAGTTGCCATTTTTTGTCCATTATCCTCATTTTACCCCCCAATATACTCTAGTAGTTTCCATCTTCTTTTCGGTTATCCCTATATAACCCCAATATACTATAGTAGTTTCCATTTTATTTTCCATGATCCAAATATAGCACCAAAATCCTAAAACCTAAACCCTAAACAGTAGTTTCCTTTTTCTTTTCCATTATCCCAATATAACCCAATATTATATGAGATATTTCGACCTTTTCTCACATTAGTAGTATATTATTTGGGGATATTATGGTACCCAATATAGAGTAAGATTATATCCTCCTTTTGGGGTATAGTATCTTATACAAGGAACATTATCTTACTAGGTTCAACCACCAAAAACAAGCACTACTCACATGAAACCACATAGTAGTGTCCATTTTCTTTTCCATTATCCCAATATAACCCAATCCTAAGCCCTAAACCCTAGACCCTAAACCCTAAGCCACCTTTTCTCACATGAAACCTTCGGACAGACGATGGGCTGGTTTCCCAAGATGCTGGACGAGCTTGGCCTGGAGTGCCACGGAAGCACGTTGGGGTGGTTTAGGGTTTAGGGATAATGGAAACAAAATGGAAACTACTGGGATTCTGTGGGTTATATTGGGGTTATAGGATATATACATGTAAGGAGTTTCTTCGGGCTTAGGGTTTAGGGAATCCAGGATCCCATTACATCTGTGTGTGCCTGTGTCCTTCGGGCCCCTCAAGGTACCTGCCATTTTGAGAAATCCCCAAACAGCAAGGTTCTTCAGTTTCAGTTTTCTCCTCTCTGCTGGCCTGTCTGGGTGAAGGTATGTGGACCTGGTCCTGCTGCACATGGCTCGTGCGGATGGCAAGGTGGGATAAATAAATTTGCCCAAAATCTGGATCCTAATACTAAAGCCCAACCATAAATCTGAAAGCCTGATTTCAAGCCCTAAACCCTAATCCCTAAACCCTAACCATAAGCCCTACAACGACCTCATTGGAGGACTGCGGCAAGCCCAAGCAGTGTCGTCAAGAGACTTGGCTTGCGCTGCAGCGGTTCCAGCGTAAGGCCGGGAGTGTGGTGCACCACTTTGGAGCAAGGAAGACGTATGTTCTTTGCGTGTAGATTAGGGACATGAACCCAGTAATGAGGAATCAAATGGAAAAGGATGCTTTGCAGGGATTAGGTTTGCTGTTCCAGTGGCAGAGTAGCAGTAGAAGCAGTAACAGCAGCGGCAGCAGCAGCAACAGCACCACCTCCCACTACCCTTATCAGCAGATTGATGGTTGGCAGGCCCAGGTGCGGGCGCTTGGCGTCAGCAACTTTGGGCCACGACAGATGCAGGAGCACTTCTTGGGAGTTGAAATGACCCAGAGATGGTCTTGAATGGCACCTAATGTAGACCCCTGATTANNGGGGTTTATTAATCAGGGGTCTAGGCTATACAATCCCTTGACAACCTTTTGATATCCTCCAAATCCTTTTTGAGAAGCCTCTTGCTTGGGCTCAGAGGGTTCAAGGGTAGTCAGTATCATGCTTAGTGAAACTAACATCCTCAAGCATGGTTACTATGATTGCAATTCCTGGTTCCCGATTGTTACGACTTCGAACGTCATTGAGCGATGGCTATCAGGATGCTGGTTTGGCAACCCTCAATCCTCAACCCTAAAGCTCGGTTTGGGGTTTAGGGGTTGGTTTCCAGAAGATGCAGTAAGTGACTGAGCCCTTCATGACTGCTGCTGGAACTCTTAATGCACGATTATAGAAGCCGGAAAAATTACCAATACCATGGTCCTAGATTCCTTGGATAACTTTGGTTTAGGGCATCTCAACTAGACCTCAATATGATATTGGTTATTAGTTGGGTTTTTAGATAGTTGTCATGGCGTACCCAAGATAGACTTCAAATGCTACTGGTAATTACGGGCAATTCGAAGCGACCTCACGCTACCTCACCCTAAATGGTGGTTTCTATAGTGAACATTCCGAAAATGGCCTGAAATTGGGTATTGAAATTATTCTAAATTACCCAATATGTATCCTATAGAACCCATTATAGTAGTTTCCATTATCTTTTCCATGATGCCTATTGGGAATTGAAATTATTCTAAATCACACCGAAATTATCTAGGCTTCTCCATTCGTTGTGGCCAGGAGCTTTTTGATTTGGGCGGCTCCCCGGCCCGGTGCCTACGCTGCAGCAAATCACAAATATGTATAGTCCCCCTTCAGTAGTTATATAGCGATAATGGAAAAGAAAATGGAAACTACTATTTAGGGTTTAGGGTTTAGGGTGTAGTCCCTCTTAAGCAGATAGAATATGGGGTATATTATTCGGGTTATGTAGGGATAATGGAAAAGAAAATGGAAACTACGAAATTATAATAGGGTATATACTGGGGTTATAGTCCCTCTTAAGTAGAGAGAATATGGGGTATATGGGGATCTTATTATAACATACCCAAATTGGGACGCCCAAAAAGGCTATAAACTCCTTTTTTTAAACGTATTCCCTTATTCTTTACTGTCGCCTGGGAAGCCGCAGCTCGAGACAGTTCTGCTGAGGCATCCATGTGGTAGGTTGTCAAAACTATGGCCTTTTTTTGGGTCCTTAATATGATACGGCTCTAGTTGCTAGGGAACCCGAAACTTGACAATGATTTTGACAACTCCCGGATGTAATATGGTAGACACAGCAGCGAACACTTGCATAGGTAGCGGTCAACCAGCTGGAGTATCACCCCTGGGTGCCGGAAATCCATCGTACGACCGTTGACTGGTGTCACAGGCCCGGCACTGAGCTCCATTCTCTCCAGGGTTTAGGGTTTAGGGTCTAGTTTCGGGTTTAGGGTTTACCATTCCTCCTGGTTTTGGTGCTGGTACTAGATTTTCCAAAAGTACCATGTTGGCTGTCCGCCAAAACCATTCTCGCATGCAGGCTCAATGAGTAAGACATGTTGACCAGGAACGGCGTGGCTGTAACAGCCTATGGCTCCATGGGCGGTCAGCTCAGCGTCTGCAGAAAAAATATCTTGGGCTGAAGGGAAGTTCCATGCACAGTGACTTACGAGTCATCATGTGATTACTCCCACAAGGTGAAAGTAGGTTGATGGCAATCATTTTGCAGTAGCGCATCGATCTATGATGACGATAGCTCTTGCGGCGCTAAGTCAGCTACAAGTCGCGTATGATTGTCATTGTCATCCATCTTCTTGGTGGAACACATCCTGTGTGACCTTCAGCAACCTACACCCTGGGCATTAATGTATTCAATGAATCATCATGGGTGATGTACGGCTGACAATAATTAATCAGCCTTCTCCCTATCAGTGCGCGAGGCAGCAACTCCTATGCTCCACAGATCATCAGCCAGGCAGATGGTGCTGAGGAGAATGATTTTTGATGTTCTGCCTAAGCACATGCGATTGAGCTTGATATTGGTTTATGGGATTCAAGAGGCCCCTTGCCGTGGTCTTGGAATGCAAGCTTGTGTGATGAGTGCACGGTTTTCACGGTTGAGGATATGATGAAGAACGCCGGATGACTATCATCAGGATGATGGTAGTAGCAATGCGAGCTGCAACGAGAGGTAAAAGGCGCTTAGCAACGCTCACAAGCATAGTGACGTTACACGGGGCAGTAGGAAGCATTAACAGTTGTATTGATTCGTATTGACGCTACAATCAGCAACGGGAATCAGAACAGTAGAGTTTCAGCTCCATCTTCACACGTTCCTGTCAGGGGGCTCTCAAGCAAATCGGAGTGCCTTGGCGGAGTATAGACCCTAATCTCAGCACCCTAAACCATGAGGGAAAAGCAGCGCCAGAGTCTGTGGACTCTCTTCGCGCAGTATGTCAGGAGTGTAAGAACAGCAATAGTTGCCACTCATACTCGTCGTTGTACTGTAGCAGCGTTGCGGAAAGAAGTCAGTAGTACTGCAGTGGTGGCGTCACAGTAGCAACAACACTGCTGCAGCAGCATGACGTTGGATAGCAACAGCTGGAAGAGCGCAATCGGAAGAATGCAATAGGTCCTTCAGTAGTAACAGCTCTTGTCATCGGGCAACGGAACATCTAGGGTGGTACCCGTAGTAGTAGTGCAGCGTAGTAGCAGTAGGCTGCAATTGCAGCTTGTAGTTGTAGTAGCTAGCTGTTGTAGTAATAGTTGTAGTGGCGGCGGCGCTGGTGCTGGAGGTGGTGGTGGTGG